CTCCTGCAAAACCTAGGAAATGTATTCAGCTATAAAATCCATGTACATACAGCAAGTGGATAACGCAACCTTGACAGTGAAGGAAAGAAGAAGCCTTTCAAAATGTAATTTAGAGGCCAGGAAATGGCAGCACATCAATCCCCTTCTTTGGTGTTTATCAGTCTGGAAAAAGCAGCCGAAATGATGATTCATTGAGCTTTAAACAGTAAGAAAAATATGTATCTCATAGACTAAGAAGTGCAGAAGTTGGGACTGGAGGTGTTGAGTGGTACAGCCCTTGCTTAGCATGCACAGGGCCCCTATTTCTGGTCTTTAACGCGGAAAGAGAGGACAACAGAAATACAGAGGTAGGCTGACCCATGATTGGCTGCTGACTCAGTGACTCAACTCTCACCAAAAGTTTGAGTCCTTTCCATCCTATACTTTCCATGCTGTTCAGGTTGGTGTCCTGCATGGTTCTGAGATGGCTGCCAATGAGGCAGTGCTTCCATTTTCTAGACAAGCTCCTCCCTTTAGTGATTGGGTATGTTAGGTCACATGTGTATCCTTAAGCCAATCACAGCCCCAGAGGAATGCCATGCAGATCAATTTAAATGGTGCATAGGCTGAGAGGGGTGAATATGTGCAGAAAGTGTGAGCCCAATAAAGGAGGAGGAAGGGGAGTAGATATTAGGAAGGTGACACACTGTCTACTGTAGATATAGCTTATTTTAAAACAAAATTTCTGTTTGTTTTAGGTGGGGAATAACCACTAGAATGTCTTCTGCTGAGAACAATTCTAATCTCTTTATTTTGTATGTTTTCAAATATGTGGCACTATTTTTTCTTCCAGGAAAAAAAATGTTTTAAATTATTGCCTTTATCTTGACCTTGTTGTCAGTTGGTGATCCAGCAGCTGGAGAAATATGGCTTGTGGTTGCAGCCTGGGTGCTTCTGTAACAGGATTTGATCTCTGTAGTCAGCTTTAATGGGGAAAGTGTGAGCCAAGGATTTGGGAGAGCTCTAATATAAATTTCCAAAGAAACAACACTGCTTAGACCTTACTTAAGATTATGCAGAGTGAGTCACCTAATCTTAGAAGGCCTCTGACCCCTCTCTGGAAAGCCTGCTGAAGTTTTTGTTTAATTTTAGTAGTATTGCAGGAGAAGCATCAACACTGGCTTGATGAATGTTATTTTTTTAAAAAAAAAAAGCTCAAGATTAAAAAAAAAAAACTCCAGATGGAATAGAATTTTGTTCACTTTGGAACAGTTAAGTCATTTGGTGCTCTAGAAAGTTCTGGAAAGAGCTGCCTTTTCTTCTGCAGCAGAAGGAAGGGTGGCTCCCCAAGTGTGGAGGGAAAGTTTTGGGGTTCAGACATGGCATAGTGGTGGGGGGCTATGGGAACTCGGGGCATATCTGTAAAGAGAATGAGTGTCTGTGAATTACTAGTGTCCTGAAACGCTGATAAAGACGGGGTCAGTTTTCCAGCAATAAATAGACAAGTGAAATTGCAGTTACTCTATGTGATGACTTAAGACTCCTTTAGTCTCACGCTGGCCCTTGAAGCCACTGGGTTAAAGAGCTAGACATGAGGATTTCTAAAAATGCTGAGTTATGATCCGTCCAGACAGATCTGAAACCTAGGTCATTTCCTTTCTCCTTATCCTTTTCCTCCCTGGTTATCCTTCTGCTTCCTTTCTGTCCCTGAGCTGTAGTGCACTTTCTGAGATGTGGTGCCTTCCAGCGGTGCCACCGCCTGCCTTGGCAGATTATGGATTCCAGCTGTGCAGACCCTCTCAGGGACAGGGTCGGGACCCCAGTCCGTATCTTCCCCCACAGCACCAGGGCCCGCTGGTGGTCTGCAGCCCAGCTGCTCCTTTGAGAATAAAACAACACTAGTCTTTTCAAGGATGTAGTTTTTGAATTTAGATCTCCTTTTATTTTAGTGTCAAGGGTAGATGTTCAGCACCCTGTTTCTGATGGTGACCGTATCACCATCGTCTGCACTGCACATAGCATAAATTTGGGAGCCCTCAGGTTCAGCCTTCTAGCCTCTTCCCTTTCATGTACAGTTGGATGCTGTAGCCACTCTAGGGGACAGGGAGCCTGGGATTCTCATTTATGCTCCATTTATTGCTACCAAGATGAGATATTGTGGAGTTAGCAAACGTGTTTGAATTCCTGTTCCTCCATTTTTTAGATATGTGGTCTGGGGACAGTCATTTCCTCTGGATAAAAATGGGAGCAATAATATTGCTGGACAAACTCAAGTCTCTCTCGGATTAGGGAAAGCTCTTTGGTGACTGACCACAGGCACCCAGCCCCATCCCCCCTTGCCCCGCGCTGGCCTCGGTCCTGGGCTCTGTTAAAGAAACACATGTGGAGAAGTGACTCCCATCCTTTGCCCACCAGGGGACAAAAAGTCAGCTCTTTGTTCACCGACTTCCACTGCGTGCTGTGGACACCGTTCCCTGCCTGATTCAGCCCCGGGACCCCACACTCCCGTTCCTTGCTTACCTTCCTGGCTACTCTGCGTCTGGTCCTTGTTCCAGTGTCCCAGCCCTGCCTGGCCTTTAAGTGTGAGTGTCCCTCCCCCAAGCCCGCTGCACAGCTGCATTTCCGCCTGTCCCCCAGACCTCACACCGCCCTCACCTAAAACTCAGCCCCTCACCTTCCCTGCCCACCCTGCAGGGATCTATAGCCCCTGAGTCATCCTTCTCACCTCTGCCTTCTTTCGTTTCTCACACTGAATTCGTCACCCATCTGGACCTGCCCGACTCAGATTCCCCTGGAGTCCTCAGTCTTCTCTGGCCCCTGGGTCCCTCCTCTGTAGAGACCCCTCCCTCTTGGCCAGCTCCAGACCGGCCTTTACATCTTTCACTGTGTCCTCCTGTTCCCTCCTGGGAAAGCCTGAGGATAAAGATTTCTTGAAAGATTTCAGGATCCAGCCCTGCCCACCTTGTGGTCTTTGTCCCTTCCTCTCCTCCCTGCCTTTCTACAGCAAACCCAGGTAAGCTTCCTGGATAGTGTCCTTCCCACTGCTGGCCCTTCTGCTTGGAAACATCTTTCTTCTCCTTCCTTGGTCCTACCCTTGCCTGACTGTGGTTCGGGTCTCAGCCGTCTGTGTGACTTCTATTGAGAGGCTTTCTCTGATCCTCAAACAGGGTGGCCAGGTGTGATGGTGCACGCCTGTAATCCCAGCACTTGGGAGGCTGAGGCAGGAGGATCACCACAAGTTGAAGACGAGGCTGAAGTACATAGTGAGACCTTGTCCTAACCAAACCAAACCAAACCAAACCAAACCAAACCAAACCAAACCCAAGTGCCCCTTCTGGGTTTCACATGCCTGTAAGTGCCAGATGGGCATGTGGTATGCACTTCACAAGTACTCAACAAATGGGGGAATATGCAGTTGTGTGGCAGAGGCTCTACACGGTTAATTTTTGTTCCTAGCTTATAACAACATAGTCCACAATTATAATTTAGCAAGAAACATTTAATAACAAGATAGTTCAGTTGCTTGTTTACGAGTAAAAAATGTGGCCTTACGTCTTTACAATCACCAAACCTATTTGCCTATAGACTTTTTTTTTTTTCTGGCAGTTCTAGGGCTTCACACTGAACAATATCACCAGCCCTTTTTTAAACTTTTTATTATGATATGAGGTGTTGTTAAGTTGCCCAGGTTGGGCTGGAACAATGTGATCCTCCTGCCTCAGCCTCCCAGAGTGCTGGGATTACAGGTGTGCACCATGGCTGCGCTTTTTTTTCCCCCGGACATGATTTGTCAGCCTTTATTAACCAAGAGTGAAGCCAAGCCCTAGAGTTTCCTTTTAAAGAATCCCAGCTTTGTTTATGGCCAATAATGATTTCTCATTGACTTTGAATTATAAATATGTTCAATACCACGAAACAAAAACTGACTGCTTCTCAGTTACTCTTCTGAGATTAATATACAAGTGTAAAACAGGTTAAAACAAGATTCACCCCACTTAAAAAATAACTCCAACTGAAAGACATTTCAAACACTGTATATAGAACTCAGGACCAAAATAACCTTAAAACATTTTTACTTTTGAGATAGCACAATAATGCTATCATTTATAATAATGGTATCATTTATTACAAGCTTAAAAAAACAATGAAGACTCTACCCTTCCATCCAGGTGGGCTAAATGATTTTCTGCAAATCCCCCACGAGGCTGGTGACAGTTATCTTACTGTCAGTGTGTAAGAGGAAACCCACGGGAAGGCTGCTTCCCATAAAACAGACTTTGGAATCACTAAGGAACATCAGTCAAGACAGGAGGGACGAAGAGTAGTAACAGTGAAAAATCAAAACAACTTGTACCTTGGCAAGATTGATTTGACAAATACACATCAGAAACAAAATTCCAGCATCAGCCCGTTGGAAACAAAAGATGAAAGATGACATTGGTGGGTCCTTTTCCTTTGTCTCTGTGCAAAATGCTTCCCCTTTTTCTACACGGGAGAAGACTACTCTGCGACAGGACACAACTCGCTGTCAGTGGTGCCCGGCGGAGTTTGGGCATCAGGAGGAACCACCTCTCCTGACTTCCCCCTTGGCTACTGAAGCACTCACTGAGCTGCTGGAAGAAAAGCTCTTTTCTGGTTTCTGAGACTATGTAGCAATGATGCATAATATAATTCTGCATGAAGGCCAAGAGGACAAGAACGCACAGACCTTCCCTTCAGAAAATTCAGCCAAGAAAAGAGAGCGAGAAAAACAGGGCCGAAAGGAAGGAAAACACTGCAGGTTGGACCTCAAGCCTCCCAGAAACATTCGGTGCCACCCAAAATCAACAACAAAGACGGGAAAGAGGGCATAAAGTTCCAACCGTTAGAAGAAAACGTGAAACAAAGGAATCTCTTTCCATCATGCCTTCCTTCCCGTGAGGCTTGGCTGTCAGTGTCCGGCTCGCTTGGCACAATGGGGACACCTCAGGCCTCCGTCAGACTTGGTCTGTCACCTCTGATTCTCCAAGCTGCAAAGGGAACGGGAACACTTTGATAATGGCGTTGCTCTTTCTCATCCATGCTGCTCCCTTTAATGTCTCTTTCCTTCGAGCTGGGGGCCACCCTCTTACTCCTCTGCCCCGGGGGACTCGCATGCAGTGAGGGTCTGGATGGATGGGCCTGTGTCCATTGGAGCTGTAGTGAGAGGACGTGGACATGATGAATTCTAACCTGTAAAATGGTAACCATCAATGCGTCGGGGCGTCAAGGAGGGCTCTGTGAGAGGAAAGCCATATGGGACTTGTGAGAAGTCTGCCCATACCTAGCAGTAACTGGCACAGGATTCAGACGACCCGAATGCTAACCAATGCTGGCATGAAGCAGTGGCAGGGGGCGTCTTCTCAGTACTCAAACACAGTCCTAAGGAGGTCTGAGGCTGGCCTTCTGGGTCACTCTTGAAGCTGGGTGTATCTGCTATCTTTCCAAGAAACAGGTGTGGTTCTTACCTGGTAAAGTACAAGACCTGCTTTGTGAATTTACTTGATAATAATGCAACACCATAGAAAAGAAGAACCTTAGGAAAATATGGGGTCACCATACGAGCGTTCCTGGTGCTGGCTGCCTGTTTTGGAACATTAGTTACACACCACCGTTCATGATTCTGAGAGTTGCAATATAGGTTACCCAGGGGAGTCTGAAAAAGAATCCTATCCTACTTCATGGATCCCTTGTAGCTTCTGATTCTAAATCATTCTGAAGAAAAAAAAAATCTGAAATACAGCTAATTAGGACAATTCATGAGCATTTTACCTGCTAAAACGAAGACGTTAAAAATGTTTTAAATACAAGTTAAATTATTGTCTTTGGCGATGAGCAATTCAGAACCCCAAATATCCCAACATCTTAATTAAAATATCTTCACGATAATTCTGTGAAACTGTAAATGCTGCTTTGCGTGTGTGTGTGTGCGTGTGTGTGTGTGTGTGTGTGGTGCTGAGGACTGAACCTAGGGCCTCACGCTTGCTGGGTGAGTTATATGACCACTGAACTATATCCCGAGTCCCAGTGATGTCAACTTTTGGAAACTAACACAGTTGAACATTAGAATGAATGTCAGCTGACAAGCTCCATGTAGGTGAATACATCCTAAGAGGAGTTCCCCTAAAAGAAATACTTTTTATTTATTTTTTAAATTGGACAGGGTCTCACTCTGTAGTTCAGGCTGCCTTTGAACTCACAGAAATCTTCCTGCCTCAGCTCCTGAGTGCTGGGAATACAGGTGTGCTCCACCACACCAGCCAAGAAATACTTTCTTAAAAGAAAAAAGAGCAAAGCAAAGCTTCTAAAGAATCCAAAAAGTGATAGTTTGACAACTGAACTAGGCAACAACTCAAGCAGAAGGGACAGGCAGTCTGTGCAGCACTTCTTGTCAGCATACTGCCATTAGCTAGTAGAAGCAGCTGGGAAGAAGAAACAGCCGGACCTGCTGATGAAAGTATTTAGTTTAGATAAAGTAATGGCACCTCCAGACCCTGGCTACTTCTCCTGGCACCACCCTCTAACCAAATGAACTGAATGGCCACTCCTGGCTCCTTATAAATGGATGACCATTCATTCATGCAAACTGCAGAGGTTAAACAAAACATTCACCAAAACAAAAGAAAAAACCTCTAACCCAGAAAACCTTTCCTTGCTCTCTATTACTGGTAGAACATGCTGAATTCAATTATTTTTTGCTCTAACATGGGTTCTACTAACCTCAGTCTGCTTTGGAGTACTAACCTGCCATGCCTTTCTGTAAGCATCACCGTGGATTTGCAAACAGCCATAATGTGTGAAGCTGTTAGCGGGCTGAGTAATGCCAGCAGACCACAGACCCCCGTCACATCTGGTACCATTTTCTACTCTAAAACTAAAGGTAGCAATTGTGAACACATTGTCGACTTTCTGAAAGGACAGATGAAGAGACTGAAGGCTGCATTTCTTCCCTCAAAAAAGATGGGAGGAGGGGGTCTATGGTTATACAACAGGTTTCTGCAAACTTTATGGTAACTTCCAAAAGCAATAGTAGCACCAAGAGAGGAAAGGAGGATGTTTACACTTTGAACTTACATCAGGCACTTAAACTGTTGGAGAGACGTGCCATTCTAAACCAAAGATGGGAAAACCCGGTTGGAGTAATCATTATGAGTGGTTTAATAATGGCCTTTCAGAAGCAAAGTGGATATGTGGGTCAAACCTCTGCTCATTCTTTAGTGCTGACTTTCAAATTTTCCAAATGCCCGAAACCACAGCAATCGCAGCAGTGGTGGCAACAGCAGGAACGGTTCTGTTGTATCTATTTTCTGTATGTGTTCTGTGGCTGACCAGAAGGGTCTGGTGTCACACTGAGAAGGCTATGGGATGTGGCATGTCTATTGTCCAGGGTCGGTCAGATCCAAGCTGGAGCCAAACATCTTCACTAGCTGTTCTTCGTAGTGTGAGATGTTCCTCTTCATAATGTCCATGCAGGGCCCCAGAAGTCTCTCAAATGCTTGAACATCCATAACTAAGCAGGTGACATTTCCAACTGCATAAACCGAAGCAGCTCTAGGTTTGTTGGTGACCAGTGCAAGCTCTCCAAAGTACTGCCCCTTGTGGCAGCGGGCAATCTCAATCTCCTGGCTCCCGGCATCCTTGTTTGTTTTAGTCTTGCTCCTAACCATGACGCGCACTTCACCAGACTCGATGATGTAAAAGCTGTCAGCCTTATCACCCTGAGTGATTATGCGCTCTCCATCCTTATAATTCTTTTCTCCTATCACATCCACAATCTTCATTCGTTCTGATGCTTCTAATGATTTAAGGAGTGGCACAGATTCAATAAATGCTTCAAATATCTTCCTCTTTTTTGCATTGTTTTTCACTATGATTCTTCTAAAAGTCTCCCGGTCCAGTCCCCACAGGGAGCCTTCAGAGGTGGCTACAATGGTAGCAGCCCTCGGGGTATTGTACATCAGAGCTAGTTCTCCAAAACTGCCACGATTGTCATACTGACCAACAGAAAGCATTTGATTGTCTTTTGTTACTAAAACGTCATAGGTTCCCCTTTCTATGACATAAAAGTTGTCTCCATCGTCTCCTTGGTCAATGACATGCTCATCCACTTCAACTGTCCTTTCAAACATGGCATCGAGGACCTCAGAGAGCTGTTCCTGATCAAGATTTTTGAAAAGAAGAATATCTTTGCACGCTTCCTGAAGCCTGCATCTCTGTTCGTCGGTTTTGGGATGAATCACCCGCGGGTCCGTGTGGTCGTCCTCTACCTCATCCGGGTTATAAGCCTCCGCACAGACCGAGGCTCGTCGGGTAAATCGGCTGGGAACCGGCACTTCCGGTTCCTCGTCGCCCTCCGAGTCGCTGCTCGCTTCGGCAGGGGCGGCTTCGGCAGGGGCGGCGGCAGGCCGGGACCCG